CTATATTTTCCGCATTTTACAACATTTTGCAACGAAACTTTGGAATATTACTAATTTTGTGATGCTCCTTCAAGCTGTGATGAAATTTTTGTGTAGACTTGTTTAGTTCAAAATTTAGTCTATTACGCAAATGGTCAATTGGAACTATAATTCTTTAAATTGTTTCTAAATGGAAGAATTAAACTCTGCCTTTTACAATTATATCACAGCAGCTACGTGCATGCTGTTTAATCGAAAGTCTGCCCACGCACAAAGTTAACTCCCTGCAAGACATAGAAGAAGAATGACATGACTATAAGAACTAGTTGCAGGAACGTGGAGAGATTAAAGGGCTCTGTCATGGTAACGGACACGTCGCAGCATATCTAGTTCCAAGCTGAGCTGTCAATGAAATGTCTTTAAATTGTTTCTATAAAAGAAAATATTCAGTTCACCGTTCACAATTAATTTGACTTTCAATCCTGGTCAAAAAAATTGGCACACTTTACATCAAAAGTGCTGAATTTGACAGCCACCACAGTAAAATGCATACTTACGCCCCTGGTATCGTTAAAACTGAGGATCAAGTTATTTAACAACCAGGTTCCCAATATGTAAATAGTGATGAATTTCTTCCTTTTTTGTTGATTTGTTTCTATTGAAAGCTCCCGTTGAAAGCTCTGCTTCCAATAAGTTCCCATTTCTTGGTATACATGTGGATTGCATATCTATTTCTGACAGATATTCATCAACACCATTCTTATGCGATTGTGATATACTAGTATATCCACCCACGCGTTAAGTTAAATCTGAACAGGACGTGTATTACGACAGGAAAGAATAGATTAATTATTAATTCCAAGAAATAGGGAATGTAAATGTTCTCAATGACATCAGTCAATACGATGACTTGAGTAAATGACACTTTCCCGACTCACTTCACAAATGCGTCATAAAATTGTACTGCAGGAAGGTCATGTCACCAGATTAATTTGTGCTGCGTGTTTCTTATGATTCTTTTATTAAAAATGTCCAGAAAATATACATTTATCATTGACATTGTGGATGAGTAGTGCTGTGACTAAATTGACAGATTGTACAATTCTGTCTTTTCCAGTTCAATGAACAGGAGAAATTTACTGACGAATTCGACTGAGCTGCATGCACGAATTCCGTGGTATGTACAACACTGGAACTAAACGAATTGCAAACTGAACGGTTCTGAATTGTTGTGAACAGGGATGCCAGGTGCCACCAAAAGGGCATATTTTTTAATAAAAAGGCGCAAAAAAAATCAAAGGCATTTACCTATTTATAACATAATTTAAAATCAATTACAAACAAATCAAGGCAGACATGAAGGAATTACGTCAGTAATCTGTTCTTGTTAAATCTTCTGTGCCCCCGTTGCACTCGCATTGCACCCAGAAAGTTGTGATGAACATAAAAGACAGAGTGTGTACTTGCACCCGCTGCACCCGTGGTTTCGCTTTTCCTGGTTGGGAATATATATATATATATATATATATATATATATATATATATATATATATATATATATATATATATATATATATATATATATATATATATATATATATATATGTATATATATATTATGAACGTAATTTAAGTCCAAAACGTAGTTTACTAAAATATTATTTCAGTTTCCACGCTTCGCTGTTAAAGGCATCTATCAATATATAATTTTTCTTTATTATTTGATACTGTTAAGTCTGTAACCTCGCAAAAGAATTAAATATAATCGCATGATTGGCAGCCGGTTTTGGGGGGAGGATTTGCGGACGGGAATCCCCTCGCCTTAATTTTCCCGTCCGTAAATCCTCTCCGAAAACACGGGATGCTACGCAGGCCACGCGTCGCCATGCCGTAAATGTTCTATTGTAGTATTGATCTCATGCATAGTTGCGCTTCGTGATATTACAAAATTATTCATTGAAGGAAAAACTATGACTAAAAAATGGCTTGTATGTAAATTCATCAGTTTAGCTAAACGCAAGTTCTGGAACGGAGTAACATTAAAAACCAGGGGCATATTTCTTTCATGTCTTTTAAGACCCGTTTACACTACGCTCAATTTTTGGTACGACAGGGATAAAAGTGGTACGTCGGGTACCAACTTTATCCGTGCCGTACCAAAAATTGAGCGCAGTGTAACTGGGACTTTATATCCTTTACATGCAGAAATGAAATTTTAGACTGAAGGCGAAGAATCTTAACATGTGCCGCTATTGTTAATACCGGTACTTTCTTAAATTTGGTTTATCGTTTATAATTAACACGAAATTCTAGCTGTACACTAAATGTACAAAACTGACGGCATAGCTGAAGTTCAAAATGAAGTCGGCAGTTTAATAATCGTTCAGATTCGTTCATCCTATTTCGTGTCGTCCACCAAATATTGAGCGGTATAAAAATGCAAAATAAATATTATCACGTGCATATACAGTAGAGTATTTAACCGCAAGAATGTTCAGTCTACTGAGTACTGAGTAGACTGAACATTCTTGCGGTTAAATTGCATTTATAGCTCGCATAGTTTCTTATTTTTGGACAACGCTTGTCATTATACTGTACAAAATAAACCCAATGAGATGACTTAATTAGAACAAGTTTAGGTTATATCTAGTTTATGGTTTGGCGCGCGAAACGGGTCAGGGAATAAGACTGTACTCGCGCGCGAAACATGAGGATTTTACCAAAGTTTGAG